ATACTCTGAAAGAAATTGTATGTATAAAAATCAGAACTCTTCAGTCCTCATGTGTTTTATTGATGCCTCCAAGGCCTTTGATCGAGTTAACCATAAAAAACTGTTCACTAAAATGGCTGAAAGAGGTGTGCCTTCAAGCATAGTGAGGGTCCTGGCATATTGGTACGCCAACAAAACTATGCAGGTTAAATGGGGACCCAGTGTGTCTGCCCCTTTTGGTGTGAGCAATGGTGTCAGACAGGGGAGTATATTGTCCCCCTTTCTCTTTAACCTGTATATGGACGATTTATCACGGCAACTCACTGCGTGTAATACTGGGTGTATGGTTGGTAACAAAAAAGTTAACCATCTCATGTACGCGGATGATTTGGTTGTTTTTTCCCCGAGCAGTGTTGGTCTGCAGCAGCTGCTGAATGTCTGCTCTGTGTATGGTGCTGAACACGACATAAAATATATTGCCAGCAAGAGTCATGTTATGATCTGTCGCACTAGAGAGGACCAAAAAATGGCCTTTCCTGCATTTAAACTGTCAAATAATAATATTGCTCCCTGTAAAAAGGCCAAATACCTCGGCCATTTCCTTACAGAAGATATGACAGATGATGATGATATTCATAGGCAGTGCTGCAAACTATAGCCTATGTACAGGCAAATACTCTTGCTCGCAGGTCTTATTCATGTTCAGATGACGTTAAAATATCTCTGTTCAAAGCGTACTGTACTCCTATGTACACCGCACACCTGTGGGTTAAGTACAAGAAAGCAAGCATGAAAAGACTACAGGTTGCGTATAACGATGCATTACGGATTTTATTAAAAAAGACCTCGCTGGCTGAGTGCAAGCGAATTGTTTGTCATCTCTTTAAGTCATCACCTATGATTCACTGTAAGTGTGAGAACCTGCTTCCTTATTTTCTCCTAGACTCGCAGACATTTAGAAACAGCTCATCATACTCGAATGAAAAGACCAAACACCTACCTGTGACTTGTGTCTATTAAAAAAGAAATGTTTTTCCTCTGTATATACGGGAACAAGCACCGGGAGGTTCATAAACCAGTGACTGTTGATCCAGCTGCTGCAAAACACACCCACAACTGTGTCAGTAAATCTCAGTCATCATGACTAATGGGTATGCTCGTTTGAAAGGGGTACCGCCGGGTGGGTAGGAGCTATGACGTCTTCAAATTTCCACAGTTTGTATACTGGAATAGCCTTGGACCAAGACGTTCATTGCATGAACGTTCATTGCATGAACGTCTTGAAAACGAACCCCGTTTTTCGTTTGGCGGTTCCCGGTCTAGACCGATTCACGTCTTCATAAACGTTCAACTCAAACATGTAATGTACTCACCTCATAGGCACAGATGTTAGGAAGGTGTACGGGGGTTGCCGTGTGTTTGTATATCCGTTATTGTTCAATAAACATGCATTTTATCTCGGGATGTCTTGAAATTTTCTTCAGCCCTTCTTCGTCCTGCAATGAATGAGTGCACCGGCTTTCTACTGCGCCACAGCGCCGCCATAGCGGTTGGGGGGGTGTATTGCACATTGGTAGTAAGAGGCTCTAGCCTTGGACCAAGACTTACTACCAATGTGCAATACACCTCCCAACCGCTATGTATTCAAAAGAAATATAAACCCGACACACTTCAAATAAAACACCACACTAATAAAGATGTGCAACCACAAACCATATCACCATCTAGAGTGAACTCCCAGCACCCCAACCACACCGGTGAATGGAGGACCCCACCAGCCGCAACACTAGAAACAGAAGGAGACAGAATGTTAAAACTCTCAAACTAAACAAACTCCAATCCTATACTAAACAATAAAAACAATAAAATCAATAAGGCTAAAACATGTAATACTAAAGTAAAATAAACAGCAGTCAGTGCTATGCCTAGAAACAAACAAAGCACTGTTAATTTAGTTTGTAGGGCACATTACAATGTTTAAATGTTGCATGTTTTACATACCTTTGTATCAGAGTCAACTTTTCATTCTTTTTTCCTACAAACAGGTTATGGCAGACCCAGTATTAAAATCATTAAAATACAAATACCTCAGCCTCACCCCTACAGTACCCTAACAATTAAAATGCTAACATGATTATGAAACAATGCTAAAAAAAAAAAAAAAAAAAAAAAAA